AAGTAAATTTAACCTACCGAGAAAAGTCAATAAGCAGGAAAAAAATGTTTTGAGTGTATATACCATCCATATTTTTTATAATTTGAAATGATAAAATATTTCATTAGTTTTCCACTACTGTGAAAAGTTATACAGAAGGAAATGAATATGTGCTTTGAATATACAACATGGCCTTCTGAACATGTTTACATTAATGTGCCTTAAACATAACATGTATCAAATATGTGACTTTCTCACAAAAAGCAGCACCTGTTAATGACATTTTTACTTCTGTCAACAAAAAAATTAGGTATCTGTTAAAACAAAACAAATAAACAAAATCAATGAAAGTATGAGCTGCCATTTTCTCCAAAGCTGAGGCCAGAATCTTTGCTGTCATGTTTTGATATGAGGAGGAAAAAGGAAGAAACAATCTTGGTTGTAGATTCTGGAGATTCTTCCTTTGTGATGACTACCTTGTAATATCCTTGGAACACACCATACCATTCCTGCCTCTATGCCTTTATTTGAGCAGTTCTTCCCACCCAAAACTCCTTTCCCTGACTGGCTCTATTTATATTTTGCCTACTTAAAAAGTCCTAAGGTCTAGCTCAAGTTGCATCTCAACCATGAAACCTTCCCCCTAAAATCTCCAGTCCATACGGAACTTCTCTCTTTGCTGAAGTCCTAATGGATAAGTTAATACACTTGTCTTTTTTCACTTTCTGGCCTTTAATCATTTTCATTCCTCTTGTGAACCTAGACCTTACAAAATGAAATCATATCTAAACTGTTACAAAGCCTTGGATAGCAGAGTGGGTAAGTTTGGGTTCTACACGCTACAGTTAAGAATCAGAATACCTCAAATCCCAGCTCTACCATTTCATTTATTAGATATGTGAATTTGGGCAGTCAACCTAATCTAATCTCTCTGTGCCTTAATTTCCTCATAGGTTAATATGGGGAAAAATAAACACCTATCTTGAACAGTTACTTAAGGATTAAATAAATCAACATGTAAAGCATTTAGAACAGGGCATGGTACGTAGTACACAACTGTTATTAAGCTGTTACCCATTTTTCCTTGCCCCAGGCCTCTACATATTGTTGTTTCACTCTTAAATGTTGGTTTTGATATGTCAGTACTCTGCACAGAACTCTCCCTGGCCTTCCATAGCCCATGGGTTCATGTCCTTAGTTTGGTAATCAGGGCACTCCACAACCTGGCACCACACTATCTACTCAGCTTCAGTTACTCAACATCTACTTTATACAAAACAAAAGGAAACAGACATATAAGGCAGAGATCCTCTCCTCCAGGGTCTGACAACTAATTACGGAAACAAGGCACAAACATAAAACCATCACACAAAATGGATGTTCACCCATAGTTACTCTCCAAAAGACTCTGCAATCCAACAAAATCTGTTTCCTCCATGTTTGGGAGATGCCAAGTTCACTCAGAATTATCTGTTTTTGTCTGTTTTATTTCACTCTTATCCTCTCAAAACACACAAAAACACTTTTTCTTAACTTGTATCCATCTACCCCTTAAAGTCTAATTCAAACACTATCACTCTCTTGCCATTTAAACTTATATAATACTATCTTACCTCAATCAACTGTTCTCAAGGTGTATAGTCACCCTCTCTATCCAAAACATAAGCTCCTAGAAAGAATAACAATTTCTTACTAGTTCTTGCCATTTCCTCCCTACCTTCTCCACTATGCTCTCCACTAAAACAGACCATGCTAGGACAGGTGCTTAAAAACATGTGCCGAATTTAAGTGAAAATGTGAAATTGGTAGTAAACTACTACCATAACTACTTACTACTAAGTAAGCTACAGTGAGATTTGAAATAGACTACATACTGTGTCGACCACTAGATGATCACCTGTCCTCAAAGCCTCAAATCAGATAGGACCATCCAAATCAGAAAGAGGCAGTCCACTTACTATCCCTTCTATTTAAGTATCATATGGATAGATTTGTGTGTTCAGTGGTACCTTGAATCCATAGAAGGATTAATAACCATTCTATTATCTATCATCTAATTTAAAAATCTTGACCTCCAAAAAGGATGATACACAGGGCCAGCATCCAAGCAGGGCAACCCAGCTGTTACATCCCTGAATAGATGGATTTGGGAAAGCTTGTTAAATTCCACTTAACGGCAAACTTGTCACCCTTCGACATACAGGTTTTAAGTATAACACATAACACATTCTATGAACTTAGCATTAAAAAGTGTCACTTGGACTTCCATATGCCCGTATTTTGCAAATTTTCTACAATGAACATGTATTACCTGAATAATCAAGTGTTTATTATTTCCTCCAGATTTTAATGGGCCTCACATAAAGGCCAAAGCTGAATGCAACAATCACAAGTTGAAAGTCAACCAAAGGGCATATTACCCCAACTTTCCACCTCCCAGGTAAAGTGCCAATTTGGACAAAGTTCTCAACTTCGTAAGTTTCAATTTAAGAAATGAGTCCTACATATGCCATCACATAGAGGAAAATAATTTCTCATTACCTTCCTAAGACTCCACAGCACTATAGCAAATAGCAAATAGCTGCTTAGACGGTTCCCTCTTCCTCCAACCCCAAACACCCTTCTCCCTAAGTACTTAGCCCAATTTAAAAAGGCCAGGAAAAGGGTGCTAAATGATTTACATGGTTATCTCAATCCTCAAAACAAAAGTAGGTACCATTATTATCCCCAGAAGAGAAAACTGAGGCTTAGAGATATTTGGGGGAAAAAAGACTTGCCTGAGGAGATGCTTAAAGGAGGGGGTTCTTGAGTTATATAAAGGAATTTACTGGGAATGGCCAGGGGACTTTTGTTGAGACAACTATAGTAGAAATCTTCAAATTGGATATTTCACAGAGAAAACAATAAATGATATCTGGTCATGTTGTAGGTTTTCTTTGGAACTGTGTATCTAATGATATCTGGCACACAACACAGGTTCAATAAAAGCCTGTGTTCAAATTTAAATTGTAAGTAGTTAATTCCTAAAACACTTTGAGCACATGGCAAAATCTGACAGGTTATTTGTTTTAACTAGGTTAGTGGTACAATAACCAATAATTATATCTACACTTAATGTAATGGCCTCACATCCTGAGTGTGTTTTAGCTGATAAAGCAGGGGGGAGGGGAGGGAAGGAAAAATGGCAGAAAGAAGTTGTGCATCCTTTAAACATGTTTTTCTAATAACAAATATCATTTAAAATTTTAACATGTCATCACAATTTATATAATAAACACAATTAATCTATTATTCTTAGTCATCTCAAAATAACCTATTGTGAGGGTTTTAGTACAGCCATGAAAAAGCACTGTTCCTGTAATCTGTTTTTCAAATAAGTAAAAGAAAAAAAATCTGAGTCTCCTTTCAGTATTTAATCAAAGTAAAGAATGTACATTTGCTGAGTACAATACTTTAAGCAAGCCTATTATCTGATTAAGTTGGACCTTAATTGTTGCCCAGGGACATAAAGAGACAAAAATGTAAAAGCTGGTTAAGGCACTAGCAGTTAAATGATGTTTGAATCTGATTGCTGGAAAGATGAGTTTTATGAATATTCACTTTAAATTATTATGGGTTATCTATGAAGTCAGGCATCCAAACTTTAGTTTCCAGGGAGGGAAAAAAGGGTCTGTTCTACAGGTAAATGAGCACCTGGTATTACACAGAAAAATTAACATCCTTTTCAGTTCTTCTACACACAGAGCAGAGTATAGATAGGTATTATGCAAGCACACAGCACTCTGGCAATCTTTTCCTCCTTTCTTTGAAAAATGATTTATATAATAATTCCTTAATTCAGTAGCAACACAGTATTACTTTCTTCCTTTCAGGTTTCTTTCATTTCAAAACACTACTATTGAAGACTTAAATTCTTCTTTTAAGAAAGACTTAATCATTTATCTCAAAAAAAGGAGCAAAAAGTCAGGAGGTAAAGCCCGAGATATTCTTATTAGTCTTACATAACTTATTCCAAGTTGGAATTGATTCAGTAGCTCAACTAAAACCCGAGGTTTAAGCAAAGATGAGATCTTTAGTATATTCTTCACACACATAAAAGAGTTTTAAAAAGTGAAAGGGTCTTAATTTTTTTACGTGTATTCTTAAAATATAAGCACCCACATGTATGACAAATTAGGATGCCAACATATAAATGTTACAATGGTCCCATTTACAGTGAAGAGCACTCAATTCATCCTACTGCATCTAGGTTATGCAATAATTGATAGAACTGGATACAATTTCAGAAAATAAGTTAATTTCTAACACTGATTTTTAAATATCACCTCTGTAAGTATGCATTCAGTATTTTTAAATAAGTGCTACCGAATCAAAATCAAAAAGTGATTTCCAAAAGCAATAGGTATATGTTCACTCGACTTGCAAACAAAACTCTAAAACTGTAGTTATAGTTATTCATGCCTAATTAAATTGGCTTTGATAATTGCAAATTACTCCTTCAGGAGTATATATGTATCAACACTTTCAAAAACTAACTTTACACAAACTATTGTCCTTACTAGACAGGCTCAACTAAGAGCTATGTGTATACTACATCTCACCACTGAGACACTTGAGCCCCAGCGTAATAAATGGCCACGGATTCCCTGCATTGCTTTGTAAACTGCTGCTTGCTAATCAAGCACTGAACTGCAAATTCACCTTTCTAAAAAGACTGAAAGAAAGAAGCCAAGCTTCACTATCTAGTTTTCCAAAACGAATTAGGGTTTGGGATTTCACTGGGAATGACCACATTATCAAGATGCCATCGCCCTCCCTAGGCATTTAATTACAATACCTTCTCTGTTTTCCATTCAACCACCTCAATTAAATTTCCACTAGAACCAGAAACACAAAAAGTTGATTCTATGGCCTTGCTGCAAGTCTCCTCTGGGTGCAAACCCCGGGATCCCGCATACATTACAACCAAAGGGCGAAGAGAAACAAAAAGTAATGATTGTTAGACAATGTGGTGACATTACCTTGCCCGTCTTGTGATCAAACCAGACGAGAGCATGATTCCTTGACAGCACCTTGCAATCAAAGGTAGCATTATTTTGCGCGGGTCGACAGCGGGCCACTGAGCGGCCGATTTTAATGGGCTCGTCCAGGTAGACATGACGCTCCTGAAACGGGTGCGAGTTCGGACGGCAAGTGAAGATGGCCAAGGCTGACGGCATCGAGGACAGACTGGGGGTGTCTCTCCTATCAAGGGTCAAAGAGGAGTTCCACCGGGTCCGGACTGCCCTTCACAAGCCTATGCGCCTGTCCCCCTTATCCCCCCCAAAATTTTAAATTAAAACAAATTGCGCATTGTCTAAGCATAACCAGTGAACATCAACAACTCTTCTCTTGAGTAGGAAGACAAGCCAGCGCAAGCCCCATCACCTCTTCTAAAACCCAGCTCACAAAAAGTCCCCAACTGGCAGCTTTCAGTCCATCTTCTTCCTCGGGAAGAAAAGGCTCAAACATCGGACAGCTTCAGCCAAGAAAACTCCTGGAACACAGTTTGGGGACTGGAGGTATCCAAGCAGATGAGTCACACACCAATTCTTGTGTTTTGTTTGAGATCGCGGCCGCTTTTCCCCCTCGGTGGCGGAAATGTTGCAGCACTGCAGCATGAAGGAAGGGTCGGTTTGATGCGGCCAGGAAGGTCCTTTCGGGGCGAAGGAAGATGTAGCCGAGCACCTCTGGGCAGCCACCGCCCGTCCTCAAGGGCCTCGGAAGTGGATGGGCCAGAGGGCCGGCGAGGGGGTCTAGACCGCCAGCGGGACAGTCTGCATTGCCCCTGACGCGCGGAGGCCGCCGGGAGGTGGCACGGGGACCCCGGCCTGCACGAGCCGAGGGGGCGGTGGATGGGGTCCTCGGCACAAGGAGCAGGGACCCGCGGGGGCGCAGGCAGCGGCCAAGGGAGGACTCCCGGGCACCTGGCGGGCGTCCCCGCGACCAGGGCGGGGATCCGGCTCCGCAGGCCGGTGCGGACAGAGCGAGGCGCGACCCCGGGGGTCTCAGCCCGTAGGAAGTTGGTCCCTGGACGCCTGGACTCCTGGCTGCTGCTCAACACACCGGCCGCCTCCTTTCAGGATCGCCCCCGCGAGGGTCGCATCTCAGGGACCGCAGCCGCAGCTCCCGTAGGACGAGGAGGTGGGGGAGGGAGGCTGGCCCGGAGGTTGGGGGAGAGGCCTGGAGGCCCCGGGCTGAGTCCGCCGCAGCCTCCACCACTCCTGGCGGGTGGGACACGCTCAGGCTATGCCAGACGAGGCAGGAAACTTTCCGACCTGGTAGGGAAACATCAAAACAAACGGCCGTCAGGCGCCGGTGCCCGCCCGCCTCAGCTCTCGCCCTCCTCAACCCGACTCCTATCAAGCCCCCACGACTGGCCGCAACCTCGGCCGACCTCTCCGCTGACGGGCTGCGGGGATTTGAAGGCCAGACGCCACGACAAGTCTCGCTTCCCTTGCCGCCACCGCCGCCGCCTCAGCTTACCTTGCCAGCGCCGGCCGCCATAGTGACTCTGACTGAAACCTACCGGGTGCACAGCCACGGGAACGCGCACCCTTCAAGGGCCCTCCTATTCCCTCTCCCGCGCCGTAGTCCGGAGATGTCACGTGATCGACGCCGCGGAAGCCATGCTCGTCAGGGGCAGGAAAGAGGGCAAACTAATTTTTAACTAGCCTACAGGAGCCATCTTAGTTAAGGGCCGGACGCTTCAAACCATGGGACAACCTTAATAGCCATTTTGGTTAAGGGCAAGAAGGAATTTGACCCATTCACGTTTTATAAATAAAACGTACCAACTTCCTGCTTTATTACCCTAGTAATACGGTACCAACTTTTACTAAATTTTATTCACTACAGTCCTCGTTGAAAATACCAACGAGCAAAGAGAACAGCCCCATCCAAGGGAGATGTTATTAGCAGCCATCTTAGCTGTGGGCAACAGCTTTTCCCACAGCTACCTTAGGTGTGAGCAACCAAATTCCCACAAGTCCTAGGATTTGTGTATCTAAAATGAGACAGTCCAGCCTCACTCTGCTGAAGTCTTCGCTGTGTATCTTGTCCGGAGAAAAACTCTTTCTTAGTCCCCGCATTCCATTTTGAATGACCGGTCTTCTCACTGTACCTATCATGTCTCCTAGGACTCCATGAAGGTTCTATCCCGGAAAGAATGTGACTTCAGAAAGTTTAAAATCACGTTGCTTCCAGAGCGAGTTTCAACAATTTCCAATATGAAAAAAGGGGGAGTTGCCCCACTCATAGTATTAAGGCAGATGAAGAGTCATTGATCTCAAGAAGAAAAGACTGCAAAACCTTAAAGATAAATTCAAGAAAACACGGTGGGAATGAATCTTATTCATTTAGAATCAATGGTGGCTCCATCAGATTCCTTTGACAACAGATACTACTACTGTGTGACCTTGGGCAAGTTTCTAAACCTTTTCAAGCCTGGTTTTCTTATCTATAACATGGAGATAATACATAATTCACCCTTTATTGTGAGAATCCAAGGTGATAATTCAAGTTGCTCATTAAAGAGTAACTATTATTCATTTCAATACTTATGTATACTGTTTTGGCCCTGTCCTAAATTCTTCTGAGCCCTGGGGACATAGGTGAACAAAACCAATCCCTGCCCTCTGAGAGCACACCTGGGTATTGTGGGATAGGGATGGGGTAGGGAGATGACAAACACAGATACAGAAAGCAAGCACTGGGTGCTAAAAGGGTCAGAGACGGCCTTCTAGGAGAGGTAACTGAACTGAATGTAGGAAGTTTGGAAAACCACAATAAATATGGAATTTGCTGAATTGCTTCATACATTTCCAGGAATAGGGAATAGCAAGAAAAGGAACAAGACTATTTGAAGCAATGCATCAATGCGCCAGGCACATAATTATGACTCAATATATATTTGATACATGAATAAAATTACATACTGTTATTCATTATTACAGAATAAAATAGGAGAGGCACAAAGTGAGTCTGGAGAGAAGAATGTGCACTAGATTGTAAAGAATTGGTATACTTTTCTAAGACTCCTCACTAATTCAGCCAATATGTATTGAGCTACTACTGTGTTCAACATACTGTATTCTAGAGAAAAATAAGGATATGTTGAAAAATTTTAATATAAGAGGATGAAAAGTTTTCATTTCAAGTAATTTTGGGCTTATGTGGAATAAAGTAATATAGGTCCTTCTACAAATCCCTAATGAGTTCTGTATATCGATTTGTAAGTCATTTATACATCCTTTCATTCATTTATTCTATAAATATTTAATTGAATGCCTATTGGGAAACAGATACTTTAAAGGTCCTAGAAATACAACCGTGGTAAAGAAAAAAAAAGACTCCCTTGAGTTGCTCACAATTTAGGTGATAACACAATAAGATCCTTACCATAATGGAAGTAATGGGAACATGGTGGAATAGTTTAAACTGAGCCTTGAAAAACGAGTAGGAGTAGGCCAGATAGTCTGGTAGTAGTGTGATCACAAAATTTTAGGCCAAGAAAACATAAACAAGAACCCAGATACTTAAGATAATAGGACTTTAAGGGAATTACAGGTAGGTCTGTATTACTGGAGCATGGTGTTCCGGAGTCAAGGAGAGGGCACAAAAGTGTGGTTTCAATTGCTGAAGGACTTGGAGGCAACCCAATTGACTTCAGAATATTTCTGTCTTTCTCCTAGAAGGTCAAGGTAGAGCAATGAAAATCAAGGTTTCAGAATTAGACATTGCATCACCATTTACCAGCACTGTAAATAGTAAGTTACTAAGCTTCTCGAAGCCTCATATTCCTCATTTGAAAAAAGTAGATACTGCCTCACAGTCTTGTTAGGGTTAAATAAGATAATGCAAGACAAAGTATCTACCGTGATGCCTAGAAAATAGTAGATATTCAGAGAATGTTAGTTTTTATTATTATTACTAATAGTAAGAATTCCCCTAGCTTTCCATATACAGTAAAGAGCAAGTTGTATTATTCCTAATTTGTATATAGAGGAACTTGTTCATAAATGTAGAAACAAAAAGTGTCTCTTCATGTTCAATTCTACTATAATACCCCTTAATATTAATGTTAAACAAACAGGATAGGCTTTTTTTTTTTCTGCAAAAAAAAAAAAGCTGGGATTGCTATAACCTGGAAGGATAAAGAATCCTACCAAGCTACTACGCAGGGTGCTGGAAATGCCAAAATGGTACTGAAGGCATTCTTCACCCACTGGTATTTGGTAGGCACAGAAAAGGCTTAAATTAAGAAATCTCATATATACAATATATAGAATTCTAAGCTATGTGGATGTTCCTCTCTATGAATCTGTATGCAGTCAATATTTTAATTAAATAAAAAAAATATTATGTTTTGGGAAATTTGGAATGGTAGTGTTTCCCAATGTTGTAGCTTTCTCACCTTTTTTTAATTTTTACCTTTTTAATAGGCTGATAACTATTACCACTGCTATGAACCATGATACTTTTCAATCTTACAAAGCCAAAGAGAGAATTGTAAATTTGTTATCCTGTAACCAGGAAAGAGGCAATTATTAGCATTTCGGATGTGTAGGAGACAAGTCTGTAAACTCATTTACTATGCAACATTCCCTAAATAATAAAGATCTAATTGGACTTCAACCAATGACATGTGATATAATGAATTATGGAATACTTGTATAATGGCTTAAACAGTATCTGGATTGCAAATATAGGGAAGCAAACTAATTAAAAAGAAGGCCTGTAGTAGTAAAAGATTAAAATTGAGAGTATATAGTATTTTTAATGGCGTACATTGGCTTATTAAAACTGAAGTTTGATCCTCTTCCAAATAAGGAAGCTCTCCTCATCAGGGAGATTCTAATGAGTGGAAATACCCTGTCATTTCCCAGGTGCCTAGGGTGGAGTGGCCCAAACATTCCAGAGGTACTGTTCATCTGTTTTTGACTTCCTGATTCTACAGGAAACAAAAGAAAAAAATTACCTGAAGACAAGTAAAGACATTTATCTTTCATTTAGCAATCTTTTTCTGTGAATATAAAAAGAAGGAATCAGAATATTAACTCTCAAGGGAATCACAGACAACTAATCTAGCGCGCTCATTTTACAGGCAAAGAACCCGAGGCACAGAGAAGAAGCCTTTATTGAATGTGTGTTTGCCATGTGGTAATGCATTTTTCTCATGACAACTCTGTGTGATATTAATTCCATTTTATAAGTAGGGAAACTGAGACCCAAAGAGATTAAATGACTGATCGTAAATCACCATGCTAAAGTACATGCTGGTGGTTATTTTTCTTTACTAAAATAAAAATCTTTACTCACTTTTTTCAGATTAATAAAGCTAATACATATTCATTGAATATATTCAAATTAGCAATGTAAGAAAAGTAAAAGTCCTCTATAGCCTCATCACAAACCCTCAGTCTAGAGCTAACCACTCTTAACAATTTGTTAACTATATCCTTCCAGATGTTTTTCTAAGCGACACGAGGCATGCCCTTTTAAAAATATCATATTATTTATTAGAAATGGGAAAATCAACAGTAGGAGCGTTATTCCTAAAAGTGATAAATAAAAGCCT